TTTTTTGTTTTCTTCTGTATTTAGGACAGGGTCTTCAAGGTCTCAGTAAGTCTCCTGTTTTCAGCCTTCCAAGTGCTGGGAATACAGGCTCGCGTCACCACGCCCAGTCTTAGTCGCTTTCTCAGCATGCCCCGCGGACGGGGCTGTCACAGCACGCCAGGACAAGAGGAAATTCTTTACCAGCTGTGTTATGGAAGAGATTATGTCATGGAAGAATGTCTCTGAAGGGTCAGAGCCACGAGAAGGAGGTGAGAAGAATGAAGCTGTGTTTGGTACACAGAAAAGGAGGCGCTACACAGGACTGTCTTTGCATCAGATAACTGAAAGATATATATTACCCATTATTTTTCCGAAAGGCGCTAAATTTTGGTTTGTAACTCTCACTCCTGGGACAGAAAAGGGAGACTGACAAATGATTTTGTTATCCTCACATTTCCTAGTTTCAAATCCGAAGCAGAAGGACATTGTTCTAGACCCAATTGTCTCTCATTCTTAACTGATGAAAATGATTACATTTAAATCTCACCTGTATAAGCACAAGGTAGGAAAAGGGCTTTCATTGGAGGCGTTTTTGTTTTTTTGAGGGTATGTGTTTTATACTGACAGAATCACTACAGAGAGTCCTGTGTGAACATGGTTGTCTGTTTAGCTTGGGAAGAAAACATCTTTAAGAAAATATGCTGGTATATAGTAAGGAAAAACAACAGTGCCTGATTTACTTTAATTTAGCTGTTTATTATTGAGCCATAATGTCCTCACAGGTGAGCAGGTGTCACTTGGTAGCTTTCCCTTGTGAGAAAATGGCTTCACTGTTCCTGCATTTCCCCAAGCCAGGAAGCCAGAACCAATGTGGCTTCAGCTACCTTTCATTGCTGGAGGTTTGTCCTAGTGAAAGTGGTGTTACCAGAACTGAGGTTCTATGTCAGGGTTGGTAGAGCAGTGTAGTTGCCAGTGTCAGAGAACACTGTATGCCCAACTACTTTGAAACAAGAGGATAGGCGTAGGGAGATAGCTCAATGGCATAAGCATCTGTCTGGCAAGCTCAAGGTCCCGAGTTTGATCCTTGGTACAAAAAAAGAAGAAAAAAAAAAAAAAAGTTGAAAAAGTGGGGCAGTCTGAAATTAGGCAAATAATTTGAAGGACTCACTAATTCCACCTCATTCTGAGTCTAAAATGTGTCTCAGCCAAATCAAGTCATCCTACATTTGTACTGAGTTCAAAGAAAAGTCAGACTTGCTTACGGGTCTCTCAGAGACTGATTTCAAATCGGGATATCCCTGGTGCTGTTGATTTCCTTAAAGACTTCTCAGCAGCGTAGGGCTGAGGAAGAAATTGACTTGTTATTTCAAAATCTAAAGTATGATCTGCATGTTGATCACACGGTCCCCTTGCTTATCTTAAAATCTCACTGTTTTGCTAGGTTCCAGATAAATTTAAATACTGGGCTAGTTTAAGAGATGAGATTTCCTCAGATCCTTACATCTCTGGCAGAAAATGAAAATTATCCTTTCCCATTACAAATTAGCAGACAATTCCAGGAATCAAGCAGAATACCTGTACCATATTCATTTCTTCACTTACTGCTGGATACCTGAAATAAGTGAAGATTTTTCTTACTTAAATTGTTCCAGAAGTGAGACACCATGACCTCTGGATAACACCAAGAGACAGATGAAAAGCTTCTTAAGCCAAAGAATGCATCAGCATTTGTACTTGTTTGTAGGAAAGTGTCACTTCAAGAACGCATGTGTCAAGCACTATTATGGCCATCTTATCTGAATCCACGGCATGGGCTTTCTCATGTTTGCCATAGAGAAAGAAGATTGGCATTTCTAATGTGGAACCTATGTGTGAGCTTTAAGAAAAACCATAAATGCTTTTACACTAATCATGAAATCATCCTCTTTTGTCTGTTTTCCCTCATAGAGAGCTTATGGCTTTTCTTAGACTTCAATAAACCACTGGGATTGCATTCAAAACTAATCTAGGACACAATTACTAATAAAATATGTCTATCATGATTGTGAAACACAGAACTTAATGCAAATGTAAGTACAGCAAAAAAGTGAAAACAAACTAACCAGTAGTCTAGGTAAGCGCAATTATTTGTATGTATTTCTCATCTTTGTATTTTTAAACAGATTTTTTTTTGCAATTTTGAATTTGATTAGTGCATATTTGTAGTACATAATAATTGCAATCATTGTGGAGAGCTGGTATATGTGCATAACACATCTTATTCTCTTTTTGGAAAATCTCTTTCTCCCCCTCATACCTCTACCTTCCCTCCCACACATGGTCACCTTCCCTTTTACAAAAGATCTATCTCCTTGTCATCTTCGTGTAACCATTACTGATTCAAAGATATTCAAGCACTCACAAAGTAACAGGGCATAATACCATTAAATAATATGTTTTTAATTAAGAAAATTACATCTCCTAACCCAATATCATATGTGTCATGAAAAGTTTATAATTCCTCACTTCTAGCATAGCCTGAATCTACTAGTGTAAAAGAAATAGGTGTAGAGGTACACAAGTACCATTTCATTATCTCTAAGTAAAACATTTGACTGAGGCTGCTCAGTATTTGGATTGACAGCATTTTCCGTAAGTTCCGCTGACAGCGGACACACCATGTGGCCCAATGTCAGTGCCGCCCCTTTTCTGCTGACTGGTTTCCCTGACATGGAAGCAGCTCACCACTGGATTTCCATTCCTTTCTTTGCCATCTATGTCTCTGTGTTGGTAGGCAATGGCACCCTCCTCCATCTCATTAAAAGTGATTGCAGACTCCAGGAGCCCATGTACTATTTCCTTGCCATGCTGGCAGTCACGGATCTCACAGTGACGCTGACCACGATGCCTACTGTCATGGGGGTCTTGTGGGTCAATCACAGGGAGATAAGCCATGGGGGCTGCTTTGTACAGGCCTATTTTATTCACTCCCTTTCCATCGTCGAATCAGGGGTCTTGCTTGCCATGGCCTATGACCGTTTCATTGCCATTCGTTCCCCCTTGAGGTACAACTCCATTCTTACCAATTCCAGGGTGATGAGGATAGGACTGGGCGTAGTGTTGAGGGGCTTTGTGACCATTGTGCCTCTAATTGTGCGGCTCTACTGGTTCCCATACTGTCATTCCCATGTTCTTTCCCATGCCTTTTGCCTCCATCAGGATGTCATGAAGCTTGCCTGTGCTGATATTACCTTTAATCGCTTATACCCAGTCATTCTGGTGGCTTTGACTTTCTTTCTGGATGCACTAATCATTGTTTTTTCTTATGTCCTGATTCTAAAGACAGTGATGGGCATTGCCTCTGGGGAGGAGCGAGCTAAGGCCCTCAACACTTGTGTCTCCCACATTAGCTGTGTGCTGGTGTTCTACATCACCGTGATTGGGCTGACCTTCATCCACAGGTTTGGGAAGCATGCCCCACATATGGTCCACATCACCATGAGCTATGTCTACTTTCTCTTTCCTCCATTCATGAACCCCATTATATATAGCATCAAAACTAAGCAGATTCAGAGAAGCATCGTTCATCTGTTTTCTGTACAGAGCAGGGCTTGAGCCATTGATTTGCAATCTTGAGATCTCTGAAATTTGTAGACTTTTCCTATAATTACAAGAGACCTCAATTTTATTTTATTATAGTCAGGTAGAATTTAGTTACTTAAAGCTACAAGCTAAATGAAACAATGGAGAGAGGGGGAAGTGAGGGGGGAGAGAGAGAGAGAGAGAGAAAGAAGTGAAATGCTATTGAATTTGGATATAAAAGTATAGATAAATACCCCAAGGAAGTCAATTCAGATCCTGCATAACTAGAAGTGAATGGTTCATTTTAGAAGCTGTAGCCAGTCTAGTTAAGTAGGTCGACATGAGGAAACATGTTTAATTGCAGACACATTTGGTGACCACAGAAAAATGAGTTGGAGAATCTGATCTAAGGCCATAGAACTCCTCTATGTGTCAAGAGGAGGGTCCACTATGTGCCCTCTATGTGTCTATGTGTCTTTTCTACTTTAGGCCTTTCTTTGAAAATCGCATAAATACCATTTATAAAACTTCATAGTTTATTACTTCTCTTTAGTTCATTTCACAAGTTGATTCCTTTACATACTGTACTCCAAGTCCCAAATAAAAAATATTCTTGAAATATATGACGAATGAAATATATCTGATATAATAAGTTTTGCATATTAAATTTTTATTTTATTCAGAATTTTTGACATTCATGTAATGATTTTACATATGTATGGGGTACAACGTGTCATTTTGGTACCTGGATACAATACACAATGATTAAATCAGTGTCATTCATTTAAAATAGTTCTCATTATTTTTCTTAGACTCTAGAAATTTTCCTTTAGGTATTTAGAAATATGCAATAAGTATGCATTGGTATTTTTAATTTATCATCTTTCTGTGCTATAGAACACCAAAACTTATTTTTCTTACCTGTGAGTATTTTTATATCCAATCACCAGCCCCTTCTGTCCTCTTCACTACCCTTCCATATTAAAATTTACACCATAACCAAATCTTCTTTTAGATATTTGCTGTCACATTTGTTGCAATTTTTTTTCCCCTGTTTCTAGTTGATTTATAGAGGTTCACTATATGTTGTCTCTAGGGTTTTATTTCTATTGTAAATATTTTTCCAGTTTATCAGAGCCATACTACATACAAGTTTAAAATCTTACAGAACATTATTTTATTATTTATTTTATTTGTCTATCAAGTTTTTAGAGACATGCCCTCAAAGCTTTTCCTCATTCCAAGTTTAGTTTTATCTTCTATTATTCTTTTCTATGATTTATTTTACATATTATATGCTAAAATAGGTTTGTACTTGAAGGAAGGTAAAGACTTTATAGATTAGTCTTTATGTGCTTGTTTTCATGGGAGTAGCACTGGGGCCTAGTCAGTCATCTGGCTGATTTTATTTAAGGAAGTGCTGTAAGACCTTGTTAAGAAAAAAAAAAAAAGATACAATAGAAAATGAACAAAAACATTTCTCTTTTTGGAGTTTTCAAATAAATTAGAGGTAATACAAATACAATAAAACCACATTTGAAATAAATTCTGCATTTAATCACAAAACAAAACCAAGAACTGTTGAGTGTGTGAGTGACAACAAGGCTATGTTCTGACTTGAGGTAAGGACACGAGTTCCTGAGAAAATGTCCCTTCAGCTGAGATAGGAAGGTGGGTCAGAAACTTACTGGTAAGAGAAGAGGCAAAAATGCTCTATGATGAAGCAGAGTATACTTCCTGGACAGGAAAGATTGTGGGGTTGTGAAGGAAACCTAAGGAAAGGGATAGTTCAATTTTCCTGAGGTTTTCACATTATTTCAGTATTACACACAAAATGGATTTGACGGGGGAAAAGAGGAGAGAACATCAGAGGATAAGAGGACATCAAAGAGTTTGATGAAAGGATAATAATAACCCAGTTTAGGGACAGATGGAAAGTAATGTGTGGATGTGTGACACGGTTTGGATCTGAATTTATTGGGATTTACAGGTCTCTGAAGAAAACCACATGAAACGGGAAAAATCCTTCATGGTTGATTCCTTCCTTTCACATGCTGAAAAATCATCTTAGTGTGTGAAAAGGAAATAAACACTGAAAATCTCTAATATCTTAGAGATTTTTACTAGACTTTATTCATATGTAGAGTTGCAAGTGATTAATGTGTGTACGCATTCATACCTGGAATAAATTTTTCAATATTTAGTCAGAAATTATCTCTCACCTCATGCTTTCAACCACAAAATGTTCAAAATATATTTCATGAAGTGGAATAAAATTTCATTTATTCATCGTATCTATATATTCATCATTTTAATATTATGATTTTGTGTAGATATACAGTATTTAATTTCTATATAAACCTTTTTAAAGAATATAATTTGGTGATATTCATAATATTTGTAGTATTGTGCAACTGCAACTGTACTTCCAAATTTTTTTGTTTTCATCCTCTCCAATAGAAACTTAGCATCTACTAATCAATAGCTCCCTACTCTACATTCCTTCTAGCCCCTGCTAACTTCTGATCTACCATAAAAAGGGGATTATGCAATAACTTATATAACCAGATTCATACCTATTTGACTTTTCTTCCTGGCTTACTTCACTTAGACTTGTTTCAAATTTCTCTGATACTGCAGCATATATTAGAAATTCGTCATTTTTTGAAGATTGAGTAATAACCTATTATATGTACATATCACATTGTATTCATCTAGTTGTCAATAGATAATTGCGTTGTTTAAATATTTTGGCTGCTGGGAATAACGTTTTCATGAACAGTAACATAGATATCCTGGTTTTCAACTTTCTTTTAAATAAGTGCCTAGAAGTGGAGCTTTCGAGCAATACGGTAATTTTGTGCTACTTTGCAGGAAACCTTCTTCCTGTTTTCTTAGCGGCTGCACTGTTTTCCATGCACATCAGCAGTGCAATGATGTTTCAGTTTCTCCGCTGCTCGCCAACACTTGTCAGCTACTGACTCTAATAAGTCATCTTGTAAAAGCATGACGATGTCCTGTTGTGATTTTAAGTTGCATTTATCATATAACTGATGATGTTAAAAAACCTATCACGGGGGTCATTCATATGCCCAGCTGCTGGGTTCAGCTTGTATTTCACGCACAACCGGGTAGAAAACATGGCTGACACTGACAAAGGATCTACAAACTGCGGTACAGGGTTTCAGCATAAACCCTGAGGGGATCTGGCTGACCTTGTCAAATACATAAGTTACATTTCTTGTTATATAGGTCTTGTTTTATCTTGCTCTTAACCATCCAGCAGAATAGTATAAATATGAGGTATAAAAAGTAAAGCCATATTAATATGCTGAGCTGTAAAAGGCTCAAGTCAATAACTTCTGACATTGCCAGTCCTACTTATAACCCACTACTATTGTGGGTTATTGGACTGTATTGGATTATTTTGCTGAATTCACACACCTACAATATTTAAATGACAATGGAATACCCATCTCCAACAAAACTAAACAAAAAAAGGGAATACAAATGAAGGACCATTTTGTGTATGTGTATTCAAAATAGTTAGGATAGGTATACAACTACTTTCTCTTAATGAACAGAAAGATTTGTACTGATAGTGTTTGTGGACAGGATATTGTGTCTGCATCTTGTACTATGAATAACCACTAATAAGACAACAATATGCAATGTATTAATTATTGAAACTGTCCTACTGATCAGTTTTGAAAGTATCTTTTTGTTATTTATTTCTCAATAAAATTATTAAAAAAAAAAGAAAGGCTGCCAGTGCCACTAGGATGCAGCTTGGGAGGGTTTTTTTTTTTTTTTTTTTTTT